CTGTGGGAGACAGATTAGGAGAGTGAATTGTTGAATTCCTGGAAGGTGGTGGAATAACTGTAGATAGCAAAAACTACCCTTTGCAGGAACTCCTAGATGCTATCAGAAGTGCAGGGCCAGATGAATTTTCAGCGTTTTGTGAAAGGTAACAAAGCCACTCGCAGAGCGAATGTAACAGTTTTTATGGAACTGCTGTGGGATTGCTGAATCTTGTTAAATTTTCTCAGTTGTCAGAATTTTTGTAGGCTTTTAAACTGCCTGCTGGCAGGCAAATTTTATTTAATTTTTGTCCTCTAAAAAGCAGTTATTGTTATTTCGTTCCAGCTCAAATCAAAAGCTGCTGTCTGCCAAGATTGTCTCTTTGTGGTCCTTCGAAGTGGAGTCCTCTTATTAGAAAGAAATCCAGGCCTGTTTCTTGCTTCGTGACGTGGGCGTAAAGCCTTGCCCGAGGCACCAAAATAATCAGGAAGGTGTATTATTAGGTGATGGGTGTTGGACAAGGAGGCTGAGGGAATGTGTGGAAGGGAGAGAGAAATCATGGGAGGAGGTAGATACCAGGGAGGAAGGAAGGTGGAGAGAGAAGGGTGCGAAGAGAAGTCCCACTAATCCAGGGACAGGGAAGCTGTGGCGCGGACAACTCGTGCAAACTGGGCGATGGGAGAAACGAGAAAGCGGGAGAGGGTTTAAAAGAAAGAAGTGAAGAGGCGGGGGGTGGTCAGGCAGCGGTTCTGTCGGTGTGGGCCGTTCGTTTGGAGCCAGGCTTAGCTTCAACTCCATCCTGTCACGAAGGGCTGAAGGAGCTTGTTTAGGATGACAGCCTCAGTTGAGTTGGTTCCTGCTCTTCCTGGAGCGTGGAAGAGTCCGAGTGAAAGGGCAAACTTTGCTGGTTGTCCTCCGTCTTACTGGGTTGTCACTTGAAAGGGACGGTGAAGGAAGGGCCTGAAGAAGGCTGCAGCTTGTTGGGTGTCCCTGCTGAGCAGGTTACGCAGTCCCAGTGGTACAGGACAAGTAGGTAAAAGTGGTGATAAAAGAATATCTGGTAATATCTGATTACCAGGTTCTCCCTGCTCCATCTCCCGCCTGTGGTGAGACCACTTCCCTGCAGGTACTTGGGAGGACCTGCATTCCAGTGCTACCCGACAGCCTCAGCTCCTCCCGGTGAATGATCGCTGCAGGGAGTTACAAGACTTGCAAAACCGCCATTTCACGTCATTTTCCTCCGAACAGGTCTAGCCTTTTCACAAGTAAAAATTGAAATTGTGTGTGTATGTAGGCTTTTGGAGAAACCTTACAGGGCAGTCGTCTCTTGCCCGTAAATCTGTGTTGTTCACCCTCTGGTGTGTGACTTTGTTCTAGTCCTGGGATGAAATTGGGAAGGTTTTTATCGTGACAGCGGCTTTCAGAGAGAAAAATCAGTCTTGCTCAGGAGCCATCCTGTATTAAACTTTGGAATTGAGTGACGAGTATTCGTTTTCTTTTGAGATCTTCTGAGCCTGCACAGTCAAGGAAGAGGTTGGCAGGTGGATTAGCAGAAAACCTCAACTTGCACTTGTGTATAAAGTAGGGAATGTGGTAGACTGAGGTCTTTTGGATAGCATGGACAGTAACAGCAAAGTTTAAAAAGGAGAAGCATTAAGCTCCTCTGTTACATTCTCCCTGAAGTTTGCAGGCTACATTATGCACTAAAAATTTAGATGTTTTCTCTGTCACTGTCAGCCAATAAAATTTACTTTGAAAACAAAAAAAAAAGATAAAGCTCTGACTCAGTGATCTAACACTTCAGTAATTTACTATCATAAAATAGTTTTGAGTACAAATGTTTTATCTTATGCCAAGCTGGACGCTAAAGATGTTTTGTCTAAAACATGAGATAATGGAAAGTGTATTGTGGCATGTGAATTACTTTAGCCTCTTGGTGGTAAATGTTTGCTTAACCAGAAAAGAATGTGTTGAGGTCCTTGCCAAAGGAGAGGTATTGCCATACTTTGCATTTAGACTACTGTAAATAAAGCAGTAAATAACGTTTCTGTTCATGTGTGTTAATCCCCAAGTTATGAATGCATTCATTCAATAAGAAACGTAATATACTGTTAGCCCTTTTAAAGGGTTTCAGTAAGAAGAGGTCATAATTGCTTTGGGTTGAGAGAAACATGAAACCAAATATTTTCATGATGATTGAAGTCGAATACGAAAGAGAAATAGTTTTTGCTCAAACTAAGTTTCCCTTAAATCCCAAGAACTCAAATCCTGGTTTACCTTCAATATTCTTCTTGTGTGCTGACTCCTCTGACGTACTGTTCTTAATCACCCACTACTATAAATCACAAAGTATATCATTTCCTTCACCCATCCAGTGTTGCTTTTGGCAAAAGAAAACCCGGCTCCGTAATATGTTAATGGTCAGAGGAGGCAGAGCGGCTATGGGAAATACTCCACTTAGTGCCTACGCTGTATTTTGGTCTTGAACTTCATTTGCCTTGAACTGATAAAATAGCTTAGTAGTAATTTAATAATGCAGATTACAGAAAGAATTACATAACTCAGATTGCAGCGTAATAATGTCAGAGCATCTGCTGGATGCTGCAGTTGCAGCAAGCGAAAGCAGCAGGGTTTCTCTTCCAGAGGGCTTTGAAATATCCCTCCTTCTTCCCAGAATCCCACGTCCAGGTTTCCAGTTGGAGAGTTGGGACAGAATGTTGCGGTTCCGGGAAATAATTGTGGAGAAGATGCTCGGTTTACTTTTCATTGCTGCGGCATCGTTGGCTACGTACCTGGCTCCACCCTCCAGGGTGAAGAGGAGTGAGCGTCCCAGGCAGGCGCCTCTTGTAGCACACGCCTCGGGGGGGGGGATCTCTGCAGGGAGTTTCTTGCCGTTAGCGGAGATTTGCTTAGGCATAAACGGGGATGTTGTACCATCTTTTAGGAATCGTTGCCCTAACGTGCTGCGTGTCAGAGCCCTTACTTCTACAAAGACAGAGCTGTAAGTGCTTCCGGTGCACCTTCGCTTTAGCAGTTGTTCAGATACGCTTTTCATTTCATCTTCCCAGTACTTCGCTGATAATTCATAAGGAAAACATGGTAGCTAAGATACACCACTAACCTTATGAATCGAACCTGTGTGGTAAAGCCCATAAATAGAACATTAAGTCTTATTTTTAATTTAGAGTCTGATTTTGATAACCCTACGTCCACATCCGATTTTGGTAAAGATATTTATTACGAACTCGTAGAACATTTCAGCCCTTAGAGAAGTTTGACTTCGATTCTCTTGTTCTTATGCTTAGATGTTAGGAGGGTTTAAAGAAAATTATGTAGTTGGATAATAAGAGTGGATAGGTAGTTTGAATCATAAGATAGTTCTTCTGAGTGTGTACCATCTGAAAATCCTGTGAATTGCCAGAAAGCTCACCCACACACACACGCTTTTTTTTTTCCCCTTTCCAGAAAGTGCACATTGTGTCCATGGTAGTATTGAAATCCAAAATAAACTTCCCTGTTATTTTTAAGGTACAATGAACTGGATGCCAGTAGAAGCCTCCTAGACAATTTGAAAGGCAAAGTAATAATTGAGTATCCAACGTTATTTGTGGTCTTGAAAACATTGAAGAATGACATGGTGGTTCTTGGCCAAGGTAAGCATATATTTATTTCCTGTTATGCTGTTCTTGGGTATTTTAGTTAAATAAACAATAATTAAGGATACACCTATGAATAATACCAGGAATGTGCAGTATGTCTTGTATTTCCCTCTGAATCAAAAAGATTGCTATAAAAAAGCTGTTAGGAATGCTCTGTCTTAAAACTGCTGGCTGATGGCTTCCATCCGTGAGCTGTGCTGCGTGTGTTTTTCCTAACTTTGTTTACTGGTGCTTGAGTCTTCTTTTTTTGTACGCTTGTAGCCACGCAGGTAAAACAGCCCTTCAGGCTTGGGCTGAATTTTGTACGTGGCGAAGTTTGACAGAGTTGGTTATTTCTAAAAGGTCAGGCTGTCTGGGGGAGGTGAGTTTTAAGTAAGCCTGCTAATCATGCAAAGGAACCATCCTCCAGGACTTCCCAGCATCTCTCCTCTAACATTGGACAAATAATTCTGAATCACAGGGTAGTTATTAGAAATCATAATGGCAGAGTAGCTTTTCAGGTGGGTTAAAATGCAACTGAGTCGTGGCTTTATATCTTAATAATTTGACTGGATAAATATGAGACTGAGCGTATTGCACCATGATACCAAACTGCCGTGGATCTTGGCTGCTCTGGCCCAGTGAGACCCAGTGATCCGTGGGAGCGATCCGCTCCGCGAGGAACGACCCGCAAACGCTTCTCGCGCTGTGCGCTGCAAGAGCTGCTGAGAGCGAGGCGCCGTGCCGGGGGACGAGGTGGGAGTCTTGTCCAAGCCGCTGGGTCCACTGATACTCACCCGAGGAGTTGCCCGTCCGTCTACTGGAGTACAAAGAAACTAGATACTTCCAGCTTATCCGTTATGTCTTGCTCTAGGTCCCTTGCTTCTTGGCAGTCAGCCCTACCCCTATGATTTCGATATCGGGCGGGAATTACAACTGATTGACTCGTAAACTTAATCCGAACAGGGTGATGGTCGTTGTCTCCTGAGCGAGCAGGGAGGTTCCCCTCCTTTTTGAGGGTATAAATTCAAAGAAATGTGGCTTGACCAACTGTATCTTGAGGCTGCGCTGCCACAGCAAGTGGGTGGCTCTGTAAAAGGCGGAGTAGCGTGGCGAAGGGGAGGGAGAGGCGGGGGAAATAGCCGGGGAAGCGCCGACGGCGCCGGGCAGGGCGAGTGTGCGTCTTCGAGACGGTGACCTTCCTCAGCGGCGGGGATCATTCAGTTAGCAGTCATCCCTGAAGCTGGTATTCGGGGGACGCTGGCGGCTATTTCGGGTTTCGGGAACCATTTATTTTCTTAATTTTACTTCTTTTTTTTAACCGTTTTTACAGATTGCATGAAAATCAAGTACATAGCTCCCTGTTGAGGTGTCGTGGGTACAACGTAGCAAAAGAGAATGGTGAATGGCAAAAAAGCCACATGATTTTCCCAACTTTCTATCGTCGTTTATTTTTGTACATCTTTTTAGTTAACCTATTAACACTTGAGCTTTGAGTTTGGTTTGGAACCTGGTGTTCTTGGAGCTTTTTCTGTTGAGGGTGGAAGCCTGCCACAGTAACCCAAGATTCTTTCTGGAAAAGCATGTTCAGAACATGGATCTAAAAATAGGAGGAGGGTTTTTTCGTTGCTGTTGTTCCACTGGAAGACAAAATACCACTTTGGTCGAAGCGCGGCACAATCGTGTCCTCTTCTGTTGTGTGCTGTCTTTACAGAATAAAGGAGAAAAAACAGGATTTAGTTTGCTTTAGAAGTTGCCTTCACAGGTAATTGCTAAGAGTGTGGAGGTCTTGGGTTCACCTGCCGACTGTCCAGGAAGAACTCTGTAATCAGAGAGGTCCTTTAGCCCACGCCCGTCTCCCAAGAGGTGACCTTTCTGCTGCAGCATCTTGCAGTGGTTCCTTTGAACACGTATGGCTTTTTTTGTATCGGTTGCACGCTCCTCCTAAGCCATCCAGCCTGCTCTGGCTTACCCCCTCCCTGCCGATGCTGCCCTTCCTTTCGGCCTTCCTTCTCCGCGCGCGCCCGGAGGGACGCTTGTCTCGGAGCACCCTTGGCATTCCAGGCAAACAGCGGCCGCACTGAGGAGCGGGTGTCTGGCAGGGTGTCCCTGGAGCACGGGGGGCTTTGACCACCATAACCCTTCCAGGGTCAGTTTTCAAAGGGCCCAGGCTGGAACAAGAAACGGTCTTGTGGGAATTTAGCTGCTAAAATGCTGTTTCTTTACTGAGCAATCTCAGATCTACCCCCTTTCCCCAAGAAGAAGAGACACAAGTTTTCACAGCCCCAGAGACAGGCACGTGCTGGGGAAAGATCACCGTTCCCCGCATGATTCAAGTTGCTGCCCCCAAAGACTGGGGGAGAGCTGGAGCTGGACACCTTCAAAGAGAGACCGCTAGAATTGAGCGGGGACGAAGCCTACTTCTCCTGTCCTTGCTCTCAGAAATGGCTGAAGTATTTTGGCTGAAACTTTCCAAAAAATAAGGAAAATAAGGATCGAGGAAGGAAACTCACTGAAAAAAAAATAAACCCAGAGCTTAAATTATACATTTTAAGTAAACTGCGGACAGTTTTATGGTGGGAAGGACCGAGCAATCTTAATTTATAGGGAATGCTATATCAACACCGTAAAAATATGTTCTTTTTGAGTGAAGACAGTCCAGAATTCCTGTTAGATAAAACGTACCGTAACAGAGTAAACTAAAGCTAAAATTTGTCTGTTGAGCTTCGCTGTGAGTCAGAAGATTGCCACGTTCTTTTGTGTGATGTTTTGATGCTTGACTTGCTTACAGCAGCCACTACAGGTGCTCTGACTTCAGCATACAAGGTCAGTCATGGCTGAAGATAGGAGGGGATTATAGAAGCTTTCACAGGACTTAGGGGCAAAAACAATCCTCACTTTGTGCATTACTCAGTACATATCTGGCATATAAATGTTAATTGATTATACACTAGATTTAATGTAGACAAAATGTGACCTCTGATGTTTCTGGGTGAAATGCTTCTATTTTCTTGAACAAATTCCATCGAAACTGTACAGGTGCACGCTGTGTCCCGTGCATTATCGGCGTTTGTCAGCCGTAGAACTTCATCTTGACGAGACCGTAACTGTACTTCGTCAGCTCCCCTTCGGTAACGTTTCCTTAAGGAAGCGTCTGACGCCAAATGCCCAAAAATGCCTTTGAATTCATAGTCGGATCAAATACTGCAAGTAACAGTGAGAGCAGAGAGTGAACCGTGGGCCGACTCCGCTGTCGTTTGGTTTTGTGCTGCCTGAGTGCCACCGACCAGTGGCATTTGGCGACCTCACCGCGAGGTGACCGGGGTCGGCGCGTGTTAGAGAAGGAGTCTCGGGGTGCGAGGCTGAAGACCGGTTTCCTGATACGATCTCAGCAGAGCACCACAGCCGTGTCCTAGAGCAGAAGTTACTGTGCAGCTTTAACCTCGTCAGCCTTGGCTCGTGGATTCACACAGCGTGACGCCGCCTTTGGGATGCTGGAGCGCACAGGAGCATCGTCTTAATGTTCCATTTCGGTTTAGAATTCTCAGTAGTTCCCCGTCTTCACCGAAATGCTAATAAAGGTGTAAATGACTTATAATTCATTGCAGTTGTGGTAGATGTTTGTAGCGACCCAGAAAACACGTAAAACAAATAAGCCAAGAGAACAATTCGGAATTCTCGGTGGATGAAGAGTTTTGTGGGGGATAAATACTCAGCTGGCCTACCTGACCTGCTGAAATTCTCAGCCTTGTCTTGCTTTTTCCTTCAGCAAGGCCCTACCCAGGGCTTTATCCCGGCTCCCGGGACCGGCTATATCTTAGGAAATAGCTTTCCTCCAGGGAAGTGTGATTAAAAGGAAAAGAAGGTCCGAAACTGGTTCTGTTTGATGAGCAAACACCACTGCGGAAACTAACTGCTTGTTTTGTGTTTGTGTCCTACACCCTCAGATGGCAGTGAACCTGCGGAGAACTCGGACGGTGAAAGTTCATCCCCGTCATCTGTGGAAGAAGGGGAAATTCAGGACAGTTCATGACGGTTCTTTGACAGAAGAAGGTGGAATGAGCATTTTATATATATTTTTTTAATGTAATTAAATAATTTTTTTTTAATGCAACTGAGTTCTCAGAGGTTTGGTTTGGCTTCACTTCCTTCACTAAAGGCAGCACTTCTAAACTGCCAGCCTGTTTTTGGATTTAGTAATGTATATTTAGGGATGTAGATAAAGAGATGGGAATTCCAAGGGGAAGAAAAAAAAATATTTCATTGCAGCCGTTTGTCCATGTATCTTTAATAAATCAGAGAAACCCAAATTTAAACTTTCCAAGTTAGTTTGAACAATGTGTTTTTAACTTTTACCCGAACAGCTCAGTGTCTGATTTCCGAGTTCAAATACCTGATCACACGTTTGTATTTGTATCTGGATTTGATGCTTAAACTTACTGAAAAAACCCCACTGGTGTTTCATTAGATTCATTTTCTTTTAGGCTATTTCTTTGTCGTGCTGAGCTGCTGAAAGCGATTTCACTTTCCTTTTGACTTTTAATCTTCTGTGGGGACACTTTGTGTGCCGGTGCAATACGTGGTGTTTTCCTGAGTTGGCTGCATCTCGTTTAACATGTTCAGGGCAGGGCAGACCATGTTCTCAGAGTAAGTTTAATATTCTACCTTGATGATCTTCTAAATTAGCATGGGTTTTAACATCAGTAGAAGTGGATACATGGAGTCTCACTAGTACTGATGTATTTGGCTTCTAAATAATGCTTGTGTTGCGCATCTCGTAGTACTAGTTTACCTACAGAAGCCAGGTGTTGTAAATATTTCCTGGAATATCAACTAAATTTACCTACTTAAAACCAAATAAACCTTAAAAAATAAAGCCCTGTACTGTATCATCTGCTGACAGTGGAAGTCTGTGGTTAACTTCCCAGAAGATCTCGAGGTCCCAGACGGCTTCTCGCTGTATCCGAGTGCCCCGTGTCCGCGGGCTCCGTTGGAGAGCGAGGTGGGGGTGTGAGGCAGCTGGGCCCCTCCGCACCGGCCGGGAGCAGCACAAGCGTTTGGGGTCAGTTTGCCAGGATCTGGCTAAGTCAGCGTTTGTGACGTCTTAAGGACACGGTCCCTTTGGAAACAGCTCTGCGAGGCTGTTGCTGCCGCCGTCGTCACCCCGGTGTGGTTGTCTCCCGCTTCAGACCAGCGCGTTGTGACAACAGTCGGGGGGCACGGGCTGCACCCTAAACTGCCCCGAAGGCGGTTTCTCAGTCGGAAGCGTTCTTCCTGCCAGCGCTGGCGTTCCAGGGAGAAAGCAAGCAGTGAGGGAGCCCGTTGAGCTAACGGGAGGCTCAGTATAGGAGGGGGCTTGGGCTTCCAGGCTCTCAGTCGAGGCTCCGGGGCACCAGGCTGTCGGTGCCTTACCGGCCGTGCTGCGTGGAGAGGATTTTTGAGACGTTCAGTGTTTCAGAGGTTATTTTTTTCACACCTTTGCAAACAAATCGCCGTTAAGAAGTTGTCCAGGGTGACCTCTAGCTGCTGAAGTTTGGGAAAGAGCGTCAGACCTTTGTAGTGGCATACTGCTTTTTCTCACAGTGGTAGCACGTGCCCTCTCCCCCCTCTCCCTTGTGTGTTTTGCAACTCCTGGTAAAACAGGCAAGTTTTTTCCTTGCCTGGCCGTAGCCACCTGTGCTCTATTTTCTTTTTCAGCCATTGTTGGTGCTCTGCCCACCTCTTGTTTCAGTGTTTGTTGTTTTAACCCTTTCTAAAGGACCGGGATTCCTAGCTATAGGTGCTGCTTTCATATTTTTTCAGTTGAGTGAAAGTGAATAAGCTTTTCCTAATCAGTGATTCCCGCACGCTGACTTGGTAGCCACAAATTACTTCAAACCGGTCTTGAACTCATTCGTCACAACACCAAAAGAAAAAAAACTAGCAGAACAGCAAAACTGCCACAGTTCATTTGCCAGAAAATGCTTCATCTGGAGTAAAAGCGTGGCGTTTCTGTGAAGATTCGCAGCGTAGGGTGGAAATGGGAGTGCTGCGAATGTTAGCGTTGATCTGCACGTGTGTGCGATTAGTCTTTGGCTGAGCTTTGTAACTGGCGTTGCTTTCCTGCGCTCTCGGAGGTTTTCATTAGTTGTACGAAGGGGTTTGCCTGCGGGTTTTTCCCCGTGTATAAATCTAGTTTAAGCTTCCTCACGAGTCAAACGCAACCGTGATTTGTTTTTTGAATGACGATGCTGTTCAAGCTGTCCTTCAGATTTAAAGCTTTTCCTACCTCACAGAGGGTTTTAAAAAATGGTTAAGGAAAATTCCTACGGTGGTTCCTAGAACGGAAATTCCCCAAAGCAAGCTGGGAATCCTCTTCCAGACATCAGCCGAATTGAGAGTAGGTGGCCTTGGTAGCATTGGCCATCCACGCCCAGGTTACTATTCACCTATTTTTACCTCGTTTTGGTAATGGTTACGCTAGTTTGAACAGTGCTGGGTCATCAAATGCAAGCCAAGATGAAATTCAAATATTTGTATTCAGTTTTGCTAAACTTCTTCCGGTTTTGCTTATAAAAAGGAACCAAAACGATAGTCTCTGGCTCAAAGCACGGCCTCACTGGCGACAGATGACGAGTGCAGGTCCTGCAACACGGGTGGTTCTTCATAATAATAAGGTTACTGATTTAATGGAAGTTTATGCATTCGGTGGCCAGGCAGGTGGTTTTAACGCTGTCATAGGCAGTTAGGGGAAGTTTTTAATGCCTTCCCGAGCGACTTAACCCAGAACGAGCACTTTGTAATAAACTGAAGGGAGAAAATGCATCTTTTCAAAGCTCTATTCTGAAATGTCTGGTCGAGCGCTTGAAACTTGGGCCGTGGAGCCGAGGCTGCCTGGAAGACTTGAGTCTGGCCCGCTGTGAAACACGGCGCTGTCGCGGATCCCCGCAGGACCCCGCCTTCGTTCGGCACAGACGGTGCCTGCGAAGGAGAACTCCGCGATGCCGGTCTCATCTCCGTCATTCAACGCCAGCTTCCGTGGAGTGCTTGCCTTTACGCCTGCTACGCTGCCGCATTTGTTTCCCCTCTGTAAACTACTCGTCGCGGAAGGAACAAGCGGTTTGCGCGGCGCGTGGGCGCGGCGTTTCTCTCAAGGGTTAGACTTGCCAGGTTTCAAACCCGGAAGCCTCGCAGCGTGCTTGAGCTTGAAGGGCCATCGGCTCACAAAGCAAAGAGTTGAAGGCTCTTGTCCTGAATGACCACACTACTTAAGAAAAAAAATTAAAAGCTTAATGAAGTCATCCCTTTCACAAGCCATAAAGGATAAAAATAGAGCATGGCTAAGGACATAGTAATAGCCGAGAGGTGGGATTGAGTCAGCCCTGTGAGGCATCTTGGTTCTTTCCCTTTTTTGTAGAACTTCCTGGGCTACGAGGCGTAGGTCATTGAGTTGTCGTGGGTAAACAGCGTTATACCCCTGTCAGCGTAACAGCCGAGTTTTGAATGAACACCTCTAGGTTCTACTGTGTTTCTCTCCACGTTAGGAGTCGTCGATCTGTGGAGGAGAAGAAGGTCGTGCTGCGGGACGCGGGGCTGGCGCCAGGTCTGAGGCATGCCGGCCCACCTCGCGTTGCTCCGGTCCAACGCTGCGGTTTTATTTTGCCCGAGGAGGAAACTTCCCTGCAGAACACACCCACTGTTAAAAAAAAAAAAAAAGACATAAATTTCTGAGTTCGCCGTAGCGCTGATAGCGAGTCCCACCTCTCAGCACAGCTGTGACTCAGCCCTTGCCCGGCCAGATACGGCTGTTCTCTCTCGACATCTGTAGGAGCTGAGAACGTGTAACACCTTGCAAGAGCCGGTTTTCAAGGGGTGAATATACAGCTGTGATGATGTAACTTCAGGCCGTATGTGGTCACAAACATTTCATTCTGCTTTCTGAAGTCCCACGCTCTTTTCCTGAAAACATGTATTCTTCCTCTCTCCAAAGGAAAAAATAGCTTGGATTTGTGTTTAGGTTGTTGCTATGGGATTCAGTGGGACTGCATGCAGATGCAGGTTCTGTTAATCAGAAGGAAAAAAAAAACCCACAACTGTGTACTTCAGTGAACAAAGATTACCCTGTGTTTGTATTAAAATGTTGCTATGGCAGTGCATATGGTTTTATTTGGTGGAAATTCGTGGTGAAATGGAAGGAAGTCACATGTGCGCAAGGCAAACACGAAACGGCAGCAAAAACAACTCGAAAATAAATACCGAAACTGAAAGGGAAGTGGCAGATGGCACGGAAAACCAGGAAGAAGCAAGGATGGTTGTTCTGCTGCCTGTCTGTCTGTGAGCTGGTGACAGAAAGGCGTTCCCGCCGGGTCCTGCCAGGTCCCGGTGACCCGTCGGACGGTGACTTGGCTCTAACGATGCTTTTATTGCAAGAGCTTCTTTCCCTCGTGGGCTCTGCGCGTTTTAACGTTTCTCTGTTTTGGAAGCGCTGGCTTGGCCTGATTTCACCACAGCGAACTTCCTGCTGAAAAGCGTTTCCAGGCTATCCTACTGTAGTAGGCTTTTTGGCAGGAAAAATCAATAAAGTGATAAACTAGCGAAAGCCGCTAGAGCCTTGCCTACCTTTGGGGTGAGGGGAAGTCTTTGTGGACTTACTGGCTCCTGCTAGTGACAGAAACAGTGGAATTTTGTTGGTTTTTTTTTTTTTAACTAGCACAGCAGTCCTCGTATTTGTCCGATCCTTTTGCCTTGGGCTGCTTTCTGCATCAGTTGCAGCAGCGTAGCTGTTTTGGGAGGTTGCACGACCGATCGGAACGGGTTAAAAGTCATCTGCTAAAGAAGCACCTGGTGGAGTTAAGATGCTGAAGGAAATCAAGTAGCTTCAGAGAAACTGGTGTCTGGCTCGGCCGATACGCTGGGCTGCTTTTGTTCTGGTGTTCAGCCGGTGTTCTCAAAATGGTGCTGGGCTGCGCTGCTGACTGGTGAACTGGTATTTATGAGGGAGCCCCTTCATCCGTGGGGAAACCGCCTTCACCGTGAGGTGAAGTTGTTGATGTG